CATTCAAGGGTTGCAGCCACCCTGCCTCTGAGAGAAGGCACGCACCTCCATCGCCGAAGAGCCGTTCATGACTGCGCCGCACAGCAAGCAGTCAATCGAGATCGTCGATCTCGCGCGGTTCATCCGCGCCAGCAGGCGCGAAATGCCGCGTGCTGAAACGGATCATTCCCATCCTCTGAATACTGCACGACGGCCAGAAGCTCACCCGCCACTTTCAGCCGCCAGCCAGGCGCCGAAGCCGCGGCGGCTGGAAGAGCGGTCGGCTCTGGCGATTCGTCGCAGCCAGGCGGCGAAAGTATCGGCGTGCGAGGCAGGGCGGGAGCACTGGCCGATGAAGCCGCCGGCAGGGGGACAGCACGCCTGCGACGCTTAGATGGGGGCACCGCGCGGCCACCAGGTGGCACGCGGATTGGCTGAGCAGCGACGGCACGACCCCCCCCCTCCCTGCGGCGGCGTGACGCACTCGCTGGAGGGGCGCATGCCAGTCGGCCCAGCGCTCGAGAGGCCTCTCGATCGGCTGCGCGGGGATCCTGCTGCGCCATCCTGCCAAGCGCTAGTGGCCGCACCTCGAAGATGCTCCACCCACGGCCAGGAGCGGCATGAACATCGAAGGTGCGGGGGGGCGCAAGGTACACAGACGCGCGCACGCGCGCGCACTCGCCCCGTGAGCGGGCAACTACACGCAAACATGTTGATTGTGGCGGCTATCGCGATGACGATGATGACGATGACGCCCGAATGGTAAAACGATTCCGCTTCACGTTCCACGCGCGGGATCACACGCACGAAAGGCGCGCGCACTCGCGCGCGAGGCACGCCATCGCGACTGAAACGCGCCAGGAAGTAAAACAGCTGAGCTTCAATGCCCGACCGCTGGGCTTCGCGCCGATGGCGCGCCCGCGGGCCTGCGTTTGCGAAAAGTAAATGTTGAGGGCCCGCCGCCCCTTGCATCTCCGACCTTCATAAGGAGCGGTCCTGGCCCCGACTGGCACCCGAAGACCGAGCAGGTTGCCCGCGCGAGGCAGCCTCCGCGGTCGCGTCCTGCTCGGACGCCACGGCCTGTTGAACGGCTCGGAAAATCCGGCGCCAGGCCTCGCCCGAGATCCGACCCGCCAGGTAGTCGCGGACCTGAACGGGGTCCTCGGAGTCCAAGTCCGAGTCGCAGGGGCCCGAAGAACTCCCGGCGCGGGAGGCCAGGGGCAGAGCAGACACGTCGCGCCCACGCAGCGATGGGGTCGCCGGACGCCGCGCCGTGGCAGCTGGCGCGCCACGCCGCGGGGTGCTGCGGGAAGACGCCGACGGGCCCGCAGCTGGGCGAGCCTCCGACACGCCTGCGCGGCGAGCCCGCGGACGGCGCCGCCGGGGTCGGCGCCGGCGCCGTCCGCCGTTTCTCCGCAGGAGTCGCGACCGCAGGGGTCCGGAGGCCTCCTGGCAGGGCCCGGGCCTCCACCCCGACTCGGCGCCGTCGCGGAGAGGCGGCTGCGGGGGCGCCGGGCGATGCGATTCGCCGCGGCGCCCGTCACGCGCGGCTCGACGCCGGAAGCAGAGCCGAACGCGCGACTGTTTGCTGTCCGCCGAGCGCGGCGGCCAGGCAGAGGCGCCGCCCCCGCCTCAGGAGCGGGGGGGGCCGCGCGACTCGCCTGGCGCTTGGCGGCCGCACGATGGGAACGGCGGGCCCCGCTGCGATTGGCCGAACCTGGGGCATGGCCTCCCAGGTCCGGCCTGTCCTCGACGGCCTCGTCGCGGGCCCCCAGCCGTCGGTGGACGGCCCGTCGATGGCTGCGCGACATGACGCTGGCAGAATCGTCGGGCGGGTTCGCGTTGGCACGCGGATTGGCCTGGTGCTCGGCCTCCAGCTCTGCGAGCGAACGCCCGGCTGACGAGGCGGAGGCGTCCTCCCTAGCCGCGTGGGCCCGACGCGCCAGACCAGCGAAATGCGCCACCTCCGCGATGCGCAGCACTGCCCACCGCCCTCGGCAAGTGTCGCGGGCGATCTGGACAGGGGCCGTTCGCCGCTCCCCGCGCGCTTCCCGACTGGCCGCCTCATGGAGCCGACGCGCGCACCCGCGGCTGGCGATGCCCTTGGCCAGATCGCGCCTCGCCGCCGCGCGCTCGGATGCGTCGCGCACCTCAGGGCGCGGCGCCCGACCTCATGGGCCCGCCCGCGCGTCGCAGTGAGCCTGTAGCTCCAGGCGACCAGCCTGCTCTACCGCGGCCAGCTCGGCCGCGGCGGGCGCAACGGACCGCGCGCGCGCGAGCGAGAAGGGGCCTGGCGCAGGCGGGCGGCCAGCGGGGGCGCCCTGGGCGCCGCGCAGCGCCGAGCGCAAGGCAGCGAGCTCAGCGCGCGCAGCTAAGACGCGCTCGGACACGGTTGCGCCCAGGGCGGAGAGCGCAAAGAGGTGGCTGGCAATAGGTTTGCCTTTGTGCGCCCCCTTGCTGCGGCCTTCGGCACGGGCGAGAGCCTGCGCGGCGGCCCCCCGGCCACCGGAGCTCTGGGCCAGAGGATCTGGGCGCCCGGAGCGGCGCGGCTGCCCTCGTATTTGAGCAGCAGCGACTTGGCGTCGCAGAGCCACTCGAAGCGCGGCTTCCGCCCCTCGAATTCGCTGGCCGAGAGAGGCGCCGCTCCTTTGTCAGGATCCCGCGGGGACACAGGATTAGACCCCGCTGATCCCAACATTGGGGATCCCTGGGTCAGATCCCCTATGTATGGATATGGTTGTTTTCGTGTAGTGTTATATCGTTGTCCTGTGAACACATGTTATTCAAGTGTTTTTGCACATCGAATTCTAAGCTATGCAGCCTCGCTTGTGACATCATCGCAATTTGGTCGCATGTTGGTCCATCGCGTTCTGCATTCGCCCCCCCCCCCACCCCCCCCCTCGCCCGCCTCGCCCCCCCCCCCCCCCCCTCGCCGCCCCATCCTCGACTGCCCCCAGCGCGCGTCGCGCGCAGAGCGAGCCCTTCCAGAAGCAGGGGGGGGGGGGGGGGCGAAGAGCAGGAAGGCGGGAAGAGGAGATGGAGAAGAAGAGGGGGGGGACGAGGAGGAGGAGGAGGGAGGAGGAAGGGGAGAATCAGGAAGAGAGGAGGAGGACCAGGAGGAAGAAGCGGAGGAGGCGGACGACGAAGACGACAAGGGCGACGTTGAGACGAGGACGGAAATCTCGAGCGCGCACCGCGCCCGCATTCAGCTCGAGCGCGCGCCGCGCCCGCATCCAGATCGAAAGAGCCGCCTTGCCATGCGTCTTTCTTCTGCCCCCCCGTCTTTCGTGGGCCCCTCTCGCAAATTTCTTATGTTATCTGCATGTGTGCTGCGTGCTCTTTTTCTCTCTCTCTCTCTCTCTCTCTCTCTCTCTCTCTCTCTCTCTCTCTCTCTCTCTCTCTCTCTCTCTCTTCCTAGCCGTCTCTCTGATGTACCTACCCATCATGTCATGAGAATATCTCTCTGTTCTTCTCTCCCTTCCACCCACCATCCACGCCCACCTAAGTGCACAGGCCCAAGCGAGATCGCTACTCGCCGTCGCTCGAGGAGTCCACTGGCAAAGGGACTTGCTCGAGGGCCCTCCCCCAATCGCAGTGCGCGAGCTCGTCCTGCTGCTGCTCGGCCTGGTGCTGGTCGGCCTGGCGTTCGTCGTCCTGCCGCTGCTCGGCCTGGCGGTCGTCCTCCTGCTGCAGGTCTGCCTGGTCTCCGAGTCATCCTTGAAAGGGTCGCTCGACCTGGTTTTCCTGGATGGGCTGCGCTTCCTTGACGGGGTCTGCCTCGATGGCGCCGCTGCGAACCGCATCATGGTGATCGCCCTCCGACTGGCGCGGGCTGCCGTCATCGTGCAAGTCGTCATCGGCGTACTCGTCGGGCCCCCCCCAGTAGCGCGGGCCGTCAGTGCCACGATCTCCATGGTTGTCTACATCGAAGCCGCTAATCGAATCATCGCGAACGCTGCGATCGCAAACATCGTCGATCAACCCGATGCTGTCGTGGTTGCCGGCCTCCTCCAACGTCGTCCCTGGCTGCGCCCGCGTGACCCCAATCAGGACGAGTGGCGTGGAAATACGGGTCACCCAGGACGAAACGCCTCAACTCGTCTATCGCGCGGTTCGGCCAGCCCTGTCGCAACTCTGGTGGCGCCCACCCGTCATTCCCCACGGCCAGGTGGCTCGGGTGGACGCGCCCGAAGAATCTCGCGATATTCGAGCCAAAACAACACCGGCAGGGGCGTGCTACCACTCCTCACAAGGTACTCCAGGGGAGCAACGCAGGCACGGCCTCGAGACGAACGCAGTCGACATCCGACAGTAACCAGGGGTGCGTTGCCGATGCCCATTTCATCCACTGGCGAATGTTGAGGGGAATGGGCGTGGGAGGGCGGGTATCGAGGCTGACAGGTTCCCGGGTGTGCGCATGAGTTTGCGTGCGAGTTCGCAGGAGTTCGTATGAGATCGCATGTTGTTATAATTGTGACGGTGATCGTTTGCGTCTGAGCCCGCATGGGCCCGCGCGGCGCGCCCCCGTTCCCCTGTCGGCTGCGGGGCGCACACAGCTCGCAACAACTTGCTTCGACGCGCTTGCGCGCGAGTCCGGGCGTCAAGAGCGCACGCATCGCACCGCCCACTCGGTCGCGAAAGAAGCAAGCAACTGGCTCTCGACAGGCAAGCTCACATTCTGAATAATGGTCCTCGTTCCTCCATTCCCACTCAATATCCCGCCCCCCCCCCCCCCCCCCCCCCTCATCATACTTTAAGACTGCGTTCGCCCCTCCCCCCCCCCCCGTGGGGCTCGGCACCGAGGGCGCAAATGGTCGTGACAGCCAGGCGGGGGAAAAAAGCCTGGTGCGAGCCTGCGGTGCTGCCGAGCGCGTGCACTGCACGTCGCCCCACGCCTGACCGATGCTCCGCAACTCCTGCAACATGTTTTCCGCTGTGATGCAGTACCAATTGAATGGCAGCACCTTCTCGTCTGGGCTCAGCACATCTCCGGATGGAAAGCATCCCTTCGCGCGGCGCACCTCGATCCCTCGATCGCGCCCTGCCCCCGCTCGATCGCGCACTCTCCAGCCGCGATGTCGCCGAAATGCGCCAGGATGCAGGCCTTCACGTCCGCGATGGCGGTCTCGTGCTTCCCGCCTGTCAGAGCGGGGCGATCTGGCAAGTATACCTCCTGCCACACGTTGCACGGCTCGATGTAGATCTGAATCGGCATGAAGCTCGCCCCGGTCTCTGGCCCGTGGTAGCTCCACGTCGAGCGCATGTCCGTGTTGACGCCTTCGTTAAGCGCCTCCTCGCAGGCGACGCCGCTGCCGCTCGCCCAAGCGATGAGCCGTGTCATAGGGTTAATGTGGTCGCTTTCTTGAAGCGTCTTCCCCTCCGGCGCTCTGCACTGCACTTGTGGATGAGTATATTCTCGGCGTCGCGAAAGCGACTCACGCCATCAACCGTCTCTGCCAACGCACTGCCCACGGAAACACGATCCTGCGCGATGGCAGCCCCCCGCGAGAATGCGCCGCCGCCGCGAGGGACGTTCGCCGTCAGCACTTGCCGCGCGTCGCACCCTGGCAGAAACATCTGAACACGCGCGACGTCGGCCACGCACTTGGGCGGCGAGTCACCCCACCCTGAGCATGGCGCGGAGTGACGCGGCGGAGCGCGGGCGGCGGCCATGGGTTCGCGCGCCCCCAGGCGCAGAGATGCGAACCGCGCGAGTTTCGGGCGCGAGGAATGGCTCCAAACGGAAACGGCAGAGAAAAGGTGGGGCGTTAGGTTTCGCCCCTCGGCTTCGCCGTCATCATCGTCATCGTCCTTCTTCTCCCCCCCCCCTCCTCCTACGTCGGCGCCCTCCTCCCTCCCCCCCCCCCCCCCCCCCCCCCCCCCCCCCCCCCCCCCCTCTCTGGATGCTCTCATTGCGCTTGGCTGCGCTGGGCAATTGCTAGATGCAGGTTGGGATTGTGTTCAGGCCGCGCCTGCAATAGTCGCTGGGTTTTGCGCATCTTGATTCGTTTGACATGGCCGCGCGTTGTTTCGCCTGCCTGCTACCGTCGTAGATTGGCGACTCGCACGCACAATCATCTCGCCCCTAGGAGGCTGCAGGCATGGGGGCAGTGGAGGGCGGGGGGGGATGCGCAGGGCGCGACCGCGGAAAAGAAGCAGGGGAGGAACAGGAGAGGAGGGGGGGGCTGAGCAGGGGTCTGGGGAGGCGGGGCAGGGGGCGAGCCAGGGCGAGATGGGGTGGGCAATGGCAGAATGCCAAGAGCAGGAGCGCGAGATCGTTTCCACGCCGCCACGTGGCAGAGGGCGACATATCCAAACATTACGTGCGCTTCCGAATCGGCTCTCCCCGAGCGAGCCACTCGGCCTTCGCGCGTCGCGCGTCACTTGGCCGGGCCCTATGCGGCCGCGCGTGACCGATGCTGGTGCAGCTGCTGCCCAGGACGCTGCCTAGGAGCTGCAACGTCGTCGATCACTCTCCGCCCCCCGACCACCTGCCCCCATCATCGTAGCATTTCTTTCTTGTCATCGTCATCACGTTTCCGTCGCCCGTCAACGGTGCGCCGCCATGCTCGCTGAGACCTGCCGCGGATCACGCTCGCAACTGCTTCGCCAAGCTTGCCCGTCAAACCAGCGGGCTCAGCAAGAGCTTTCATCTTGCCGTTCGTCCACTTCTTCTTTTCGAGCCAGCTACAGTGGCGAGTGGCGAGCGCGCCCGACAGCCCATCTCACGGCGAGCCTCGCCGCGGGTCTTCACGACGAAAGCATGCAACAGGTCAGCGCGCGCATGGGAAACAAGCACGAACAGCTTCAGCGAATTCCACCCAAAGGCGCCGCCGCACGCGGCATGTCGGCATCCACCACTCGCTACCATGCTCCGAAGAAGTGGCGGCATTAAAACAAGTTGGACCCCATCGGGTTCTGAATTTACCCACCGCACACCCCTGCATGCAGGCAGCGAGATCAGATATGACGCGCAGTTGGCACGCGCGTTTCCCTCGCGAACGCCCAGCCTGTCTGCGTTGCCCGAGTATAGGTCGGAGGCTTTCCTACACATGTGCACGACAGACATAAATGACAGCCTCATTGAACACTGCGGCGCTATCCAGGCAAGCCCCCCTCGACCGCGCCGAGGACAAGAAGTGCAGCCCAAATGAACCCCTCGAGCGTTGCCGCGTTCGGTTGCGGGCGCAATTCCTCGCCGAATGGCGCATGCCCCAGACCAGCCCCCCAACGCGCCGAACTGTGCTCGCACTTCCCAGCGAAGATCCCACAAAAATGGAACGTCCTGTTTGTTTCTGGGAAGGCCTCTTTGTACGCATGGATGGCGCCCGCGCCAATATTGAACACATTCGCGCCGCGCACTGGGTCTGCGAGAACGTTCTGTAAGAGCTGCGTTGGCTAAGCGAGCCACGCTAAGCGAGCCACGCTAAGCGAGCCACGCGTTGGCTAAGTGAGCCACGCGAGCCACGCGCGCGCTTCGCGCGCGCTTAGGTTCTAGCCGTGGCCACGGAACAGCTCCGAACACGGTATGACCAGGCACAGGTCCAAGTATGTGGCGTTAGCCCAGAAAACCGACCTCCTCCCCGTCCTCCTCCTCCCCCTCTGCCTCCTCCTGCCTCTCCGCCCCCTCCTCCCCCTCCCCCTCCTTCCCTCCCCCCTCCCCCTCCTCCTCCTCCTCCTCCACCTCCTCCTCCTCCTCTTCCTTGTCCTCCTCCCCCTCCTCCTCCTCCTCCTCCCCCTCCTCCTCCTTCTCCTCCCCCTCCTTCTCCTTCCCCTCCTCCCCCCGTCCTTTTCCTTCCCCTCCTCCCCCTCCCCCCCTCCTCCTCCCCCTCTTTCCTCCCCCCCCCCTCTCCCCTTCCGCATCCTCCGACTCGTCGTCGTCCTCCTCCTTCTCCTCCTCCGCCTCCTCCTCCTCGTCCTCCTCGTCCTCCTGTTCCTCCTCCTCCTCCCTCCTCTCCACTCCCGTCCTCCTCCATATTATCCCCCCCCTCCTCCCCCTCTCCTCCTTTTCCCCCTCCTCTACCTCCTCCTCCTCCTCCTCCTCCTCCTCCTCCTCCTCCCTCCTCCTCTTCCTTGTCCTCCTCCTCCTCATCTTCATCATCCTCCTTCTCCTACTCATCCTCATCATCATCCTCCCTCCCCCTCATATCCCTCCTCCTCCCGCCTCCCTCCTCCTCCTCCTCCTCCTCCTCCTTTTCCTCTTCCTCCCTCTCTTCTTCCTCCTCCTCTTCCTCCATCTCCGCCTGCTCCTCGTCCTCCTCCTCCTCCTCCTCCTCCTCCTCCTCCTCCTTATCCCTCTTCCTCATCCCCCTCCTCCACCTCGCAAAACACTCGACGCCGGGATGTGTTCACAACGTGGGCCCAGCATATCCGGACGACTTCCCGGGGCCGCCTGTTCATCCCGCCTTGTGTCTTACGGTCCAGGGGCCCCGCAAGGGCCCCCTGGAGGCTGGAACTTGTGCAAAAGCTTCCCGTCGTGTTTTTTCGTCCCGACGCGAGGTGGGAGCAAAGAAAAGCGACACCACCACCACCACCAGGGCGAGGAGCCAGGGGATGCCCCCTGGTGGTGTGGCCACACCTCCCCGCTCGAGACATCCCCAACCTCCAGCTTGAAGGGGCATCGCGGACCTTCTCGATGAAGGTGGCTCCCCTGGTGGTGGTGGTGGTGGGTGGTGGTGGTGGTGGTGGTGGTGGTGGTGGTGGTGGTGGTGGTGGTGGTGGTGGTGGTGGTGGTGGTGGTGGTGTCGCTTCTCCTTCCCCGAGCGAGAGGGACTGGGTCCTGCACTCTGCCCCGGGCCTCAACGGCCTCCGGACGGGAGGCGCCCACCCTCGAGGGCGGCGCGGCGGGCCCGACGCGACGCCGACGGCGTTCCCTCGGGGCCTCTCCTGCCTTTCATTTTGGGGGAGCCGGTTTCGGCCCCAGGGGCCGTCGAGAAACAGGAACCGGGGCAAAAAACTACTCCAGGAAGATGCGAATGCGGCCCCGGTCGGGCCGGGGCGGGGGGAACGCAGCCCCGGGAGGGAGGGAGGGTGGGAGGAAGGAGCAGCAGGAGAAGGAGGGAGCAGGAGGAAGCGAGTCAGAAGGCGGGATCGTGTGCATCCTGAAGGACGCGTCATGAACCTGTGAATTTCCCACCTAATATTTGTACTACCACGGTCAGGGGAGAAGCAGATCCCACGGGGAATGCAATGGCATCGGGGTAGAGCAAGGCAAGACCGATCTCTGGGAGCTGGTGGTAAGCCACGATGACTTCCGAACCCTCAACAGGCTTCCGAAAACCACTCCATCTTCTCCTCGTCGTCGTCGTCCTCCTCTTCCTCCTCCTCTTCCTCCTCCTCCTCCTCCTCCTCATCGCCGGGGCCCGCGATGGTGGAAAATAGCCTCCACAAGGCACGGCGCCCACCCGGGGCCGAAGACGGCGAAGAAGCGTATCCTAATGGAGGCTCGAAGCCTGACGATGAACCAAGGGAACATGTGATCCTGCAGCGTCTCCCGCGAGACCAGCACAGGGGGAGAGACCACCAGCATGGCCCATGGCATCTGTTTGTCGCGCACCCGTGACATGCATCTTGGGAGCCCTTCGGGGGCTTCTGGCGGCGTCTTGGGGGCCTCCGGGGCGCTTCTTGGAGTCTCCTGGGAGCTTTCTGGGGCCGAAGGCTCGAACAGTCCGTTCGGATTCCCTGTCTGGGTCCCTTCTTAGAGCCGTCTTGGGGCTATCTTGGACCGTCTTGGAGGCCTCTTGGGCTGCTTGGGTCCCTCTTGGGCTGTCTTGGGGCCGTCTTGGGAGCCTCTTGGGCCGTCTTTGGGCGATCTCGGGAATCTCTTTGGCTATCTTGGAGCGCCAGGAAGCCGCAAAGGTGAGAACCACAAAACATCCTCCCACCAAACCCTTGAAAAACAACAATTGTTAGCCTCTTGTGGCCCTCTTGAAAAAGCCTCTTGGAGGCCTTTTGGGGTGTCTTGGAAGCCTCTTGGGCCGTGTAGGGACTATCTTGACTGTATTGGACCGATCTTGTGGCGTCTCGGAGCCCTCATGGACATCTTGGGTGCTTCCTGAGGCCGTCTTGGAGGCCTTCTGGAGGCCTCCTGGGCCGTCTGGAGGCCCCTTGGAGGCGCCAGGGCGGGGGTATTGAAAAAGGAGGGCCCAAGGGTTTTGAGGTGGGCGGGGCCCCCGGGCTGGGGACCTGGTATTCATGCATCCACATATATCCTCTGGGGGCCTCCTTGGCGCCTTCTGGCGGTCTTCTGTGAGGCCCCGGGGCTCTCCGAGGGCCCCGGGGCCCACATTTGCGGCCGTCTTGGGCCTTTCGTGGG